CCCAGAGAGGCTGTGGATGCCCCGTCCCTGGAAGTGTTCAAGGCCAGGTTGGATGGGGGCCCTGGGCAGCCCGGTCTAGCATTAAATGTGGAGGTTGGTGGCCTTGCCTGTGGCAGGGGGTTGGAGCTTCATGATCCTTGAGGTCCCTTCCAACCCTGGCCATTCTGTGATTCTGCGCAGTTTGATTTGCTTGTGTGATGAGGTGGTGATTCTTCCACAGTGCTGAATGTTGTCATGCTGTTTGAGGCTGTGTGTTAGAGAAGTTTCACGTTTGCAAGAGGAGTATTTTCTGTCTCTGCTTTGCAGACCTAATTGTGTAGGTCTGATGGATGGCTGAGAGCTTCCTTTGTCACTTGGAACCTCTGCTGACTTTTTAGAAGCGCAGCAGCGGATGCAAACGAGTGGCAGATACTGCAATACTGTAGCCGTGATCAAACACACGCTTACTGTGTGCTTTAACTTGTGCCTTAGTTGTATCAAGGCTATTTAAAGAGACTTCTGAAGGCTACTGCTGATTGAGCAAGGCCGTTTTGTTTGTTTGTTTTACTTCCCTGTGAAATTTGAGGGTGGAGGAGGAGGAGAAACAGAGAAAACAAAGGAAAATCAAGGAGGTTTGAGTGCCTTTTTTTAAGGAAAAAGGCCAGGTTTTCCCAGTGGATGCATTTCCCCTCTGATACAGCAGTGGCTTTCTTCCAGCTTTCCTTCAAAATAAAATGTTTATGCTCTGTCATGGAATGCCAGGTGACAAAAGATGATAGGAAAGCAGACGCCGTGTTGCTGTTGTTTGTTTTTCCCCACCTTAAATCAAAATGAGGGAAGCTGTAACTGGATGTGTTCTTCGTCCGGCAGCGTGGTTGGTTCTCCTCACCCAGTTGGTCTCTGAGGCCTTTTTCTTTTTCTTTTTAAACCACCTGTAATGAATACATCTACAGAGGGTGGAAAGGATGATAAACTGCTCACTTCTCCTGAGCTGCGTGAAGCCAGCAGTCCTGGTCTTACACCTTTATCATGAAGCACATCACTCATACGTCTTTAAATACATTCTGAAAGGCACTTGTGGCAAATCCATGCTTTTGTATGTGGCTGCAGGAGGAAAACCATTTTTAATACCCTGCAGCTTCTGATTATGGCAGGATGCATTTTGTTTTCGTATAGTGGGGATTTAGATATCCACAGATGTTCTGGTTTGTAATTCCTGTACAGCTGCACCTCAGCACAGTGTTATTTCACAGCTGTGCTGCTGTTTTATTGGCTTGCTTCTAATGAACTGCAATCTTGGCTCCATGGAACTTAAGCTCGTTGATATTTGGTTGCTCATGTCATGTGCCCATAAAATTTGTATTGTAAAGATACTGATGTATTGAGATTTGTGTGCTTGAGGTGCTCAAACAGCTCATGTGGAACAAAGTTACAAAGTTTTCTCCATGGTTCCCTAAGAAATGCTGATTGCAAAGCTTATATCTCATCCCTGGAAAACAAACAAACAGCAGATAATCCAATTCCAGCCTAATTTGATGGGGGTATTAATCTTCAAAATGTTACATGGAAGGTTTTGAGTAGTTTCTTTTGGTTTTGAAACCTCTGTGTGTGTGTGTATAAAGAAGAGGAAGGCCTTTGCAGTGTCTGCACTGAAAGAAGAAACAGTGGTAATTGTGCTCGTGTTAGATGCCAGCAACGTGTGCGTGGAACTGAACCTGAAGGTGGAGAACTGCAGAAAGCAAGCTCCCTTGGTTCTGCTGTGCACAGAACAGGCTCGTGGGCTGCAGGCTCCTGCTGCACTGCTGAAATCCTCACCTGCTTCGTGTTTGCCCCTCTCTGTTCTTGCTGTGTTGTGTGTCCAGGTAAATGGGAGGACAGAAAGCAGCGTGAAAACTTTGAAAGGCATTCAGAAGTCCAAGTAGGTCATTCATTGCTGAAGCAATGGTCAGGGCATTAGGGATGAGATCTCCTATTTAGCCTCTTTTTCACTCTTTCTTGGCATGCATGCTGAAAGTTTGGCACTTGTCCACTTGTTTGGCGCTTGCCTGAAACAATGGAGAGTAAACTGAGCTGTTATGGAATAGGAACACAGCCTTGATGAGGCTGCTGAAAGCCCCTTTATCCCTCCTGTCAGAGCGGGTGGCTAAGTCACACAGATCAGAAATCTTACAAACTCCTTTGCATGGGTGAGGATGGTAGGATATAGTTTCAAGCTGCCTTGTTCTCCCGGTTCACTGCTGAAAGGTTCTCCCTGATTTCTCCTATGGACAGCATGAATCATCTCCGATCTAGTTTGTGTTACTGGAAGATGAGCAATTAAGTTGTTTAGATTTCTGGACTTCTGCTTGCTTCTGATAACACAGTATCAGAAAACAGGGAGGGATTGAGCAAAGGTGATGGCTGAATAGAACAAAGCAGCTCAGGGCAGGCGACCTCTGCTGTACTCCAAGTGCTTTTTCTGCACGTGGTTTGGCCAAAGTAGGGCCCGTCTAAACAGAAAAGAGGAGTTGAAGACCTGACAAGCTCTATGAAAATGAGGTTATCAAAGGGCAATGATCGAAGTTAAATCCACCCAGAAGAGGCATTTGGTGTTAAGGCAGCGAGGGCAGAGACATCCTGCTAAGAAATAGTTCCCCATTCCGAGAATTTTTCAAAGTGCAGGAAGTATTAAAAAAAACTGTAAGTCTAGAAAGCCCCAAAAGAGCTCAGGTTCTTCTTTATTCTCTTTTGTCATTTATTTTTTTTCTCCCTTCTCTCACTGGAGAGGGAATTTCTTTCAGAAGTACTGAAGAGAAGGTCTAGAAGTTGTTTCTTTCCCTCAGCAATGTTTTGATGTAGCATGAAGTTCAGTGATGTTGCTTATGGTGGCTGTGGGGATGTGGAGCCCAGGGAGTGAATTTCCCCAGCAAGTGTCCCACCTTACAGGAGCAGAGCTGTCCTCACTAAGGATGGCAGAGAATGTGGAATGAGGTCAGAACAGCTCTGCAGACAATGCCTCAACACGCAGATTGAGATCTTGCACATTCCAAAGGAAGCACCAGGTGTGCAGACACACAGCTTTGCTGTATCCTCTGAGAAGAAAACTAACCTGACCTGGAATGCCAGTTTGGAAATTCAGAGACACTGATGAAGAAGAAAGAAAGAACTCATCTGTGTGCTTTTGTACAGCGCTGCTTTGTGGGGTGCTGGATTTCATGTTTGTTTTCTTGATTTCTTCACAATGATTCCCATTCTGCCATAACTGTTAGGGCTCTTCGTGTTCTGATGATCTCCTGCCTAAGCTGTAATCAAGGTGCGTTCTCTGGCACGATGAAGCAACCAGAATTACTTCTCTCACTACTTTGGACTTTCTGTTGACTCCTTTCCCTTGCCAAGTAACCTTTAAACTTCACTTTGAAGCTTGTGCCTAACTTTCTGTTTCTATATTTTGAGCCCTATTCTGAGCCTTGCTTTTGATGTGTTCATCTGTATTTCCACCCCCTCTCCCCCCTTTTTTTTTTCAGTTCTCCTTTTTTACCCACTGTATGAGGAATTTCACTCTCTCTACACCTGCTCACAGCCTGCAGCTTTCTCAATGGTGTCAGCTGCCTTCTACATTTTCTTTTGCTTAATTTCTCTGAATTCAGTATTTTACTGCTAATTCCTGTACCTTGGTCTGCGTTTGTTTCTCTGTCTGCAAATGCCACACACGATTCCTTTCAGCTAAGAGGACTTGAAAGGAGCCCTGCAGGGACGCATACTTAAGAGCCCACAGGTTCTTTAATCACCTTTGTGTAATTCATACTTAGCCTGGTGCTTTGGCACATTTGCATGGAGTTGCTTCCTGTTCCAACTGTTGCTCTCCTAAAAATTAAAGCTCTAATCAAGTAATTCAAGCAATTAATGCAATAAGAGCATTCATCCTCCCAGCTTTTTGTTACCTTACCACTGCGTTCCAAACTGAAAGCTCCAATGACCTCTTAAATAAAGACCCAACAAAAATCATCTTTGATTTGAGAACTTTTTAAACGAGATTGAATCAGGCTATTCATGTAACGACAGCATGAGGTGACGTGACATCATGGTGCACCAGTATTTGAAACTGCCTATGTTGTGTTTTCACTACTGGCGCGGTGACCTTCTGCAGTATCAGCGTCTGCTGCGGGCAGATCATGATGCAATTCTGGGCTGCCTGGCCTTCCTGTGAGACATTCTGTTTGAAAATGAATAGGTGAGCCCTCGGGGGAGCTCGTGGTTTGTGTTTCAAAAAGAGCAATAGCAGCAATGGGGCTCCTCTGCTCTGTGGTTCGTTTCCACCGTTCCCCCGCTGCCTTGGCTGCACCAGAGCTGCTGGTACTGCTCGGTACAGCGGATGGCAGCACTGCTCAGCCTTCCCGGGTCACTTCAGAAGGTGGCATGCTGCCTGCTGCGCTGGGACACGGCCCTGGGGATGTGTGAGGGCTGTGATGGTGACCAGTGTGTCAGAGCAGATTGTGGTCTGCCCACAAGGGGGAGCGGAAGCTGAATTAGGACAGTGGGCTACAGCTGCATGGTTAGGTACAGCAATGTTATGGCATTCAGATACAACCCTTTTCTTTTCACAGTTGTGCAACACTTTGACCCTCTGTGCTAGGAGCAGTGTTCAACCTATTTGTGGTAACATGCTAAAAATGTTTAATTTCTAATGCTTACAGCAGTTTTATTTTTAATAGACTTTTAACCTTGGGTTTTGCAAAATGCACTGAATGTTTTTAAGCCTCTAATTTGACAGATTTTACTTTTTTTTTTTTTTTCCTTCTAGCCCCATTAAATGAAAATCTTGGTGCAACTGACTGGGAATAATATATGCAGTCCTGCTGTTGGCTCTTGCTGGTCAGTGCTGTTCTTCTTACTGATTACCTTTACAATTTCAAATTGTGTGCATATTTCTTTACTTTTGACTGTAGCCTTGAAGTGGGGTGACCATTGTTTTTGATGTATGATGAAATGCACACGTATGCTTTTCTTCCAAAGCACAGAAGTACCTGCCAGATTACATTTCAGGTAATTCATGATGTTTTAAGAGTTTCATTCCTGCCATTTTCAAAAAGGAAAAACTGCTTCCATGTCATCCTCCTGCTTGTTTCTTCCAATCCCATCACATATCCTGCTGAGCCTTTCTGGTGCAAGGTTTCTGTGCTGCTTCCAATAGCCAATTGTTTTTTGAATAGCAAGTATGTACATATTGATACCTCCCTAAGCACTGTATGTTGTGGTAACCAAAGTCAGTATCACTCTCCAGAGTTGCCTGTTGCAGTGCCAAAGCTTAAGGCAGTTTATTTCCAGCTAGCACAGAGGAATCATGTGTGCTCCCAGTGGGAAGATAGCAGTATATAGGTACAGACTGTGTCAGAAGGGACAAAGCTAGATTTAATAGTAACAAGCTGTTGATTTGTTTGGATGGCCTTGAAGGGGAGGTTGGAGGGAAGGAATTTTGTGATTATTTTTTTTATTAGTGAAGTACTTGACTTGCTTATTTTCACACATTCCCTGCGCTGTGTGGATGCTGTTGGAGCTGTGATTTTTCTGGAATGTGCAATATATTTCCTCCCACTATTTGTTTGTTTGAAGCAGCATATTTAGTGCTGGTTGTGTGTTGGGGATTACTGATAGTACCCCAAAGGCATTTGGGTGAGAAGGCAGATGCAAGTTCTTTCTTGCTCAGGCGAGCAGTGGAAGCTCCAGCACAGAAATGTGCAGCAAATGACTGTGCTTGTAGGTGTTCCACAGTGCTTATGAACAAGTACATGAAAGTTCCTGTAATAAATGCTTAGAATGAGTTGAGGTTTAGGCTGCATGCCTTTAATGATGAAACCTGCTCTTTACATATCAGAAACAGGATAAGAAGGCCTTTAAGAGACATGTATCTCAAGAAACATTTCCACAGCCTGCCCAGGAAGGCTGTTTGATTGCTGGTCTTTTATACAATGTGTTTTTTCTAATACTCCATATAAGCTTTCTTTATTTTACTTCAAGCCTATTAAGTTTAAGTGCTTGTTCTGTCACCAATTAGAGAGAATAATCTGTTCTTGGCTTCTTTGGAAAAATTCTTGATGTACACTAATCTGGATACCATTTCTTGTTATATTTCAAAAACCAGCTTTTCTTGTGTATGCTACTGCTTGGACTTCTCATCCTGAATAATGCAGTTTCTTGAGGTCTGACTGATTGTGAGTTGAGTGAATTACTGTAGTAAACAGTAACAGTGCAGCCCAGCAACTGTTGTCTTGGCTTATTCCACCATTTTTGGACTTTTCTTTGTGATAAACTGACTGGAAGTCGAGTGTGTAGGCAATAAGTGTCAATGTAGAGTGTGTGTGGATAGACTTACCAACAACAAGAGAGTATGTTGTTACAGGGCCCGAGGCCACACTCCTTTTCTGCTTGCAGGTACTTCCCAAGGACTTGTCTCTTTTGCCTGTGGGAAACTGTCTGCTCGTAAGGCAAGACTGTGGGAATTTGGCTAATTTGTACTTCTGTGGTTGGAAAGCAGCCAGTTGTCACAGAGCTTTCAACTTGTTGCATCTCTGTTTCACTATTGTCTTCCTGGCCTCTGAGCTCTTCATTATGGCTTCCGAGGCACTGAGCGTGTCTGGCTGCGATAAGAAGTTGGTAGTGATGTTAAAAACACTTGCAAAAGCATCTATTTAAAATGACTTTCGTTCAGTGTGCTTTTCCTAACTTGTTTTCTTGCTTTGTGCAGGACTTTGTAGCTGGGTAAAGAATGCAGACTATAAAGTGCGTAGTTGTTGGAGATGGCGCCGTGGGAAAAACTTGTCTTCTCATCAGCTACACCACCAATGCCTTCCCAGAAGAGTACATCCCTACTGTGTTTGACAACTACAGTGCCCAAATGACTGTCGATGGCCGGACGGTTAGCCTGAATCTCTGGGACACTGCAGGCCAGGAGGAATACGACCGTCTGCGCACGCTCTCATATCCTCAAACCAATGTGTTTGTCATCTGTTTCTCCATTGGCAGCCCGTCTTCCTATGCAAACGTGAGGCACAAGTGGCATCCTGAAGTTTCTCACCACTGTCCTAATGTTCCCATTCTTTTAGTTGGCACGAAGAGAGACTTGAGAAATGACCTGGAAACAGTTAAAAAGTTAAAAGAGCAAAGCTTGGCTCCCACTACCCCACAACAGGGGACTTCGCTGGCTAAACAAATTGGAGCAGTCAAATATTTGGAGTGCTCAGCATTGAATCAGGAGGGTGTTCGGGAGGTGTTTGCTGAAGCTGTGCGTGCAGTTCTTTATCCTGTGACAAAGAAGAACACAAGGAAATGTGTCTTATTGTAGTTACCTCGGCTGATGGATGCTCAAAGTTGAATAGTGACTAGAATTTTGGAGGGCTTTTTAACGTGTTAAATTGAAGATTTGCATCTTGCACTAACAGCTCTAAGCAGAAACGGTTTATGCAAAGAATATTCTTGCAGTCTTATTGCTTCAGGGAAACTGAAACAGAACTTTTTTTTTTTTTTCCCCAGCAGAGAGGTCAAATATATACTTAAGTTCTGAAGTTCCAGTCTCCAGCTTCTCCAGGGGTCACTTGGCTTCTGTTCTTACTTAGTGGAGGGAAACAAAGGAAGGGACTTCTCTGAAGCCCAACTTCTTTACTTTATAGCCACCAGTTGTTAGATTTGCTGGAAAGCACAAGTTCTGATAACTTTGCTTTAAGTCTAGGTGCTGTTTTTCCCATTTCTTATTTACAGATCAAACTGGTTTGACAAATAGAAGCCTGGCATTTGTTGTAATTTGCCAATTCAGAACTTGAAAACAATTTGTTTACATACAAAAATGCCAGAAATATTACTGAGATTCACCTTGAAGTGAACTGTGATCATTTATGTGAAGAGTTAACAGAGATCTAATCCAATAAGCAAAGACCTAGGCAACACCTGCAAGTATTTTGTTAATAGAAGCAAATTCCTATTGTAAGGAACTTAGGATAATGATGAATCACTCAAATGAGAGATTTTAGTGCTGTTGAAATGGAGAGCAGATTAGGTGCAAGCCTTCCATAATCTCCTAAACCAAGTTAAGGTTTTATTTCACTCTTCAAACAGACTTTACACCCTGAGAATAAAGTTAAAATTATCTTCCTGGGCTGACTGAGATAGTTGAGATGACACTTATTCTCAAAGTGAGTTTTTTCAGTGTGATTCTGCTCTCCCTTTGATGATTCCCAGAGACTCGGGTACAAACCCATTTGTTCTTGAAGAGTTCATTGTTTCACTTTATCTTCTTGGAGTCACCACCTGACATTTCATAGCAAATCCTTGTGTTCTTTTTTTTTCTTTTCTTTTTTTTCTGGGAGATCATTGACAGAAAATGTGGAGGTTTCTGTTTACAGGGAACAGAAACATGGGTTTTTTTTCTAACAGTTCCAGTTAAGTTTGCCATGGTTAGTGAGTCACTGGATAGATTTACCTGGGCAATTTTCTCCCCCCTGCTGGGTAACCAGTTAGTGTAAACTGTTTTAATGGAAGTTCTATTTATGTACTTCTCTAACTTTCTCTAGCAGCTCTTGTGAGTGGCAGCTGGCTGTGATTTTCAGGATGTACACTGTTAGTTGTGTGTGATTCTGGGACCAGCTGAGGAGTGAGTGCATGAAACCTTCCTTAGTCTTAACCTTAGAGCTTGGTGGCATGAAAGCAGCATGCTTCAAAGATGCTTTGTATGAAACCAGTGGTGCTGGACTGGGCTTTGTTGTCTGAGGTTGACAGTGCTGTCTTTGTCCAGATGCAGCCTCCATTGGTCATTCAGAACTTGCATCCTTGTGATTCTCACACATGCGAAACTGCACTGTGTATATCCTGGGCAGGAAAAAAAAAGCCTAATTTTAGCAAGAGAACAGGAAATATATCAACAAGGTTATTAGGGATCTTGAGTTAATCTGACCTTGCTTTATCTGATACCAAAAAAAAACCAAAAACCAACCAACCAAAACCCAGAACAAGGGGTAGATATGTTCATATTTGTGCCCTAATTCCCCTCTCCGAAGAGGATGTGCCTTTCTTCAGCTGGTGTAACTGATGCTGACACTAACTGCAACTCTTATGTATCTATTTGCTCATACAAATACTGCTTCAGCAAACTGCAACCCCATAGGTAGCAACTGCAGTTAACCCAAATGTATGTGGCTGGTAAAGCACCACTGAGTTCCTAACATTGGTAGGCAACACCCAGTTGCCTGTCATGCATGAATGTTTGCAGAAACCTGGAGACTTCTGCGTGGTTTTCTTCACCAGGTGTCGTTGTCTGGGATGTCTGTGCTCCTTTTGCACTTGCAGAAGTGCTGTTCCAGATGTGGCTCTGCCTGCAGGAGGGAGCAGGAGTATTTCCATCAGGTGACCTCTACTCACCACGTTCTGCCTGTTAGTAGTAGGCCTTTAGCGTGGGCTTGACGTGCTGGCAGCAATTAATCCTGTGCCTTGTAATGCAAGATTATTTTCTGTAGGTAAATTTCAGTAACTGAGTAAATAGAGTTTATCATGTTTAAAATATATTTATTTAAGCCAGTGCACATGTCTTTGTAATGCTGGTCAGGCCTTTATCATCAGTCTAGTTATCTTGGTGCAAGCCCGTAACCTTTGCTTAACTCAGATGTACTTTAACAACTTTGTGATATGTTTTAACTGCTCTTAAATAGGCTTTTAATGTCCACAACAGGCACCTCTTTTTATTTGCAATTTTGTACTGAAGCTACTACTGTTTTTTAGAAGTTTTTACTTTTTTGACGTACTGAAATCTCTTAGTTCTGCTATTCGTGGCTGGGTGGCAGTCACTGTGCAGGTGAGGAGCTCTGGTTGCACACAGCCCATTTCTGTGGGCTCGCAGAGCAGCCGTCCTGGTGTGAACTGGAAGAGGGTATGGTGTGCTGAAATCCTCCTGCTTAACCAATTCATTTCAATGGGTTACGTTATTGATGATGCTGTTCTAGAACGCTCTATCCCCATCTAGATCACTTAATGAAAAGATTGCACAGCAGTACTGAGGAGGTGGACACAACGGCGGTGGAACTGAGCAGAAAGTGAACTTGGAAGGACTTCAGAGACTTTTTCCGGATTTCAGAGTACCTCAACAGCAGTCCTTTAGGTGCCTTGCATGTCTGTGCCTTCCTGTTGGGAGCAAAACTCCTGCTGGTTGACAGCTCGTTATTCCAGCATCTCTTCTTCATGAGAATGACCTCCAGCAGCACACAGATGCACTGAGCTTTTCCATTCAGTGGGCATTGTCTCCGTTTAGGATCTTTCTTTTTTTCTTCCTCCACCTCTTGGTGCATTTTATTGTACGTAGTGCAGTGCTTCAGTCTACAATCCATTCCCTCAGCTCCTCAGGCATTATTTTTCCTGTGGACAGCTGACAACCACATCTCACACAATCACATGGCTGCGCCCTGTTGGCAGCAGGTCGGGATACCCCAAATTGAGTTTCCCACACCATTCAAGATTTGTGTTTACTTCATGGAAACGCTCTCTGAATGCCATCGCTCCCCAAGAGGCTTCATGTCAGAAGACCAATTTTAGTCTTTCAGCTCGCAAATCATTCCTTTAACACTCAGCATCCTTGCAGTACAGCTGTGGCCGTGCACGCCGCCTCCAGCAGCTCAGCAGTCGCGCTGTTCTGAGGGCGTTCGGATGGAGAAGTGCTTTCTTGGTTTACAGCCGTAGCTCTTTCTGTGGGATTTATGCTAGAGCAGCCTCACTGCTTGAGTGCTAACCACGCTCTGCGGGACCCCGGTGCTGCGCTGGGCTCGCCTGGAGGAGCGGGTGCTGCGGGCTGGCCGTGCCCCGGCCCCGCGCCTCTGCGTCTGGTACTGATACATACACTGGCGACTTGATTTTATACTATAAAAGGATTTGTATTACAGCTAACAGTTTTAAAAGATTTTTCGTTTTTAAATTATGCAAGAAAAAAATTAAATGGTAATAAAGACCTTCCTCATCCATCTGGCTCGTTCGTTCGTTCGTTCGTTCATTCATTCATTCTCCCTGTTCGGAGGTCTGCGCGGCGCGGCCGCCAGGGGGCGCTGCGAGCGCACGAAACCTCGGGGGCGCTGTGCGCCACCGTCGCCCTCAGCGCACCGCCCACTTCCGCTTCCGGTCCGGCGCTGCCGCCGCCGCGATGTCGGACTCGGAGAGCGAGGAGGAGGCGGATGGCGGCCGCGCGGAGCCGTTCTCGCTGGCCGGCTTCCTCTTCGGCAACATCAATGAGGCCGGGCAGCTCGAAGGGGACAGCGTCCTCGACAAGGTAGCGCGGCCGCCTGCGGTGCCGCGGCGGACGGGGCCGAGGGGAGGCCTCGCAGGGGCGGTGGGGGCCGTGCGGGGGCTGCCGGCACCGGGTGGGGCGGGGGAGGCGGAGGAGCCTCCGTGTTGTTGGGACGTAGCTCTGGTCTCTCCAGGAATCCAAGAAGCACCTGGCCGGGCTGGGTGCCCTCGGACTGGGCAACCTGATCACCGAGATCACAGCCAGCGAGGACGAGAGCGCGGAGGCTGACGGAGCTCAGCTGGATGAGGAAGGTCAGGCAGTGGGACGGTGGGTGGTTGGACTGCATGGACTCGTAGGCCTTTTCCAAACTGGGTGTTTCTGTGGTTCTGTGGGGTGCCTGCAGCTGAACGGCAGTGTCAGAGCTCCCCTTAGAGAGGAGAGGCTGCACCTGGGGCTGCTGGGCTGCAAGCAGTAGCACGGTGCCTGGTGATGGGTTCTCTAGCAAAGACCTTTCTATCTTTTTCTTGTCAGAACGAATGCCACCTTATCAGTTGTTCCCCGTTGCACGCATTCTCTTTTACAAGTTTTAGCTTTTTCCATCTTATCCTTTTCTCTTCCTCATAAAGTGTTTTCCCCCGTGTTACACTCTTGTGTTGAACGCTTGCAAGCCTATTTGATGCATAGCCTGTTATTATACCTCTTGTTTGTTTATTCGTGAGCTTCTCTAGCAGTTTCATTGGGTAAATGAAAGGTACTTCTTGTGCTAAAGCTTGTTACCTGTAAGTCTGTAGCAGAAATTCAGAGCTTTTGGTTGGAACGGGGAGAAAATTTTCTCATGTGAAAAGTTAATTAAATGTTTTTATTCCCATAAGAAAAAGGAAGCATAGAGTACGTAGTGAAGTTGGACGTGAGTAATGTACATTGGGATAATGTTTGGTTTGATCAGATGTTTTTCTCCATAGGTTGGGTTAAGAGCACAGAAGATGCTGTCGATTACTCAGATATTAACGAAGTGGCAGAAGATGAAAGCCGTCGGTATAAGCAGGCAATGGGCAGCCTGCAGCCGATGGGAAGACAAGGTAAATGGGATTAACATTACACCTCTAGCTGAGTGTGTTTGGGGGCAGTTGGCATTAGCAGTATATCTCTTGGTGGGTGTTATTGTGCCTTTCCACTCATTGTTTCAAGAAGCAAAATAAAAGCTTTTGTGAAACCATGTTCATAGGATAAAGCCATTGCTTGCCATCTTCCTATTTCAAATAATGAATTCTTCATCAGAGTTAAACTGCACTCAGAAGAGAAACAGACATCCTTCTTTTGGGATCTCATGCAGAGAATACTAATTCTTGCTCATATTTCTTTAACCTCTGTTCTTAGGAAAAGAGTTATTAAGGCTGTCAGATGCTTCTCAGAGATAAGCAAAGGTAGAGGTCCTGGCCCCGTGGAGAGTAACGTCAGTCGTAACCTCTCTCCTTTTTTGCCTTTGATTTCTTTTTTCAAGGGACTTTCTCCAGAAAGCACTTCAGTTCTTTTGTTGGTGCCCAAGATCTCTGTGAACAGAAGTGAATTTTCAAACATGTGGCTTTCTCTTTTAAGTTCCTATATAAGTTTCCTTTAAGTGTCATAAGTGCCAATACTGCAAATTAGCGTGAAAGAAGCTGAACTGGTAAAAGTTTTAGTTAAGAAATGAGAATGGTCGTCTTTGCTCAGCTAATGAAGGGGCATGGTCTTCCCAACAGGTTGGGACGGATATGAGATAGTACAGATGGGAAGGTTGTTTTGCTCCCTTTGTAGTCAGCTTAATATACAGCCTTGTCTCCTACCTGGTTAGATGAAGATGAGGATGATTATGATGCTGACTGTGAAGATATTGATTCCAAGCTGATGCCACCACCGCCACCACCTCCAGTGCCTGGGAAGAAAGAAGATGAAAAGGATGCAGCTGCCACTGGTGAGTGAATATCTCCTTCTTCCCTCTGGCAATGTGAGTGTCTGAGGGAAGCAAACATTGCTGTGTAGCAGTTTGGAAAGGACCCACACATCATCAAAATTCTGCCTGCAGACTGCATTAGAAGGTCTTTGTCCTGATGCAGTGTTATGGGACTGTCTGAGATGAGCTCCTGTACAAAACCCAGGGTAAAGTATGATATTTCTTAGGACTTAATGACTGCTAAAATACTGATGTTCATGATGAAGCTGCTTTTTTTAATCTCGTTCTCTCAGTTGTGGCTGGGAAATTCACCTGGAGTGCATACAGTAAAATGAAAGGTTAAACAAGAATGTACTCATAACATCTACAGAGGCTTGATTTTTTGCATAACATGGTGTAAAAAGTAGATGTGGTAAAGGGTAGATGTGGCATTATGTGTTTATACTAGATCACAGGGAGGAAATCTGTTTGTTTATAAGGTGTTTGTTCTATCATAGTATCTGAAGATGGGGATGGTATCATTTTGCCCTCCATCACTGCTCCTTCCTCTGCTGCCTCCTACAAGGTGGATTTCAGCAGCAGCTCTGATTCTCAGTCAGAGATGGGACCTCAAGAATCCAGGAAGGCAAACTCACACTTCCTTTTGCAGGAATCATGCAGCGAGACACTTCCAAGCTGTTGCCAAGTGTTACAGAACTCTTCCCGGAATTTCGACCAGGCAAGGTATTGTTAAAATATGACAAAGTGACAGAAGCTGAGCTTTTTAAGAATGAATCGTACCGTATTAAGGATATATAGTAGGTAATTACATAGGTGGTCCTGCTCATCTCATTACTTTCTGGTTTAGTTTCTATCTACTGCTGTTTCCTGACTGCAGTGCTTTCCCTGACGTATGCAAGAGCCTGTTAAAAAGCCTCATAGAACTGAGGGGTGAAGTAATATTTGCTGTTCTCTGAGACTCTCCTTTCTGGCATTTCTGCTAAATATGAACTTCCTTTCGTGCTGTTCTAAACTCGATGTGGACTTACTCAAAAAAATTGTAAAGTTTGTATCCTTTACTTAAATCTTCAAGTATGGATCAGAGATTGGAACAGTAAGAAGTGGGTTGTAGGAATGATTTTAAATCTTCACTGTTAGCCCTCAACTCTTTGCAATTCTAAACTTTTTCCTTTTTTCAGAAAACAAATTTATTACAGTCCTTCTTAAAGTTCTCCCAGACAGCAAATGTAGTTGTTGTGTTCAATTAATTAGTTTGAATACTTAAAAACTGTCAAGAGGAGAGGAAATGTGAGAGGGAAGGTAAGGTAAAGATGAGCTTACAGATTCCAAACAGAGCTGGGATAGTTTGGTTTTGAGAGTGCCTCCATCATAGACTTTGTTTAAGAAGCTAAGGGTCTTGCTTGTTTATATCTCATATTTTAATGATTAGCTAATCTCTATCTGTTAGAAATCCAGGCGAGTCTCTAACACCAAAGTTAGATCTGTCTTCTTCCAAATCACTTGCTGCTCTCTTAGCTTACGCAAATCTGGTGTTTCCCCTGTTGGTTTTTTTTGTTTTGATTTGGTGCTCAACTTGTGATGTCAAAGACTGGTTCAGTGTTAACAGTATTAGTTTGTCTCTGGTTGCTTAAGAAATCTGTGTTTTATTTAAGTCAACCTTCGTGTTGCTGATCACTATTGCCTCTTCTTCAGTCTCCACATCTTTTGAAAGCTGTGGTTGGAAATAAAAATAATAATCTCCAAGTGTTAATTTATTTTAATGCTTAATATCAACCAGATGGATCAGTAACTTTTTGGAAGCATCGCAATGAAACGGTTGACTGTTAGGAGCTTGGGACTGTAGTACAGAACAAGCCCCTGAATTTCAGAATGTTCTCCTTCACTGTTGCTTTTCAGGCAGGGGAAAGAAAGACAATCATTCCACAGTCCTTTCTATTTCAGGTGCTGCGTTTCCTCCGTCTCTTCGGCCCTGGGAAGAACATCCCATCAGTTTGGCGGAGCGCCCGAAGGAAGCGCAAGAAGAAACATCGGGAGCTGGCACAAGAAGTGCAGATACAGGAGGGTGAAGTTGTAGTTGAGAGCGGAATGGAAGGAAAATCTCCCTGGGAATATGAGTTTGCTGCTCCTCCCCCTCCTGAGCAGTGCCTTTCAGATGATGAGGTGGGATATCTGAGACTTAGACAGGGTTACCAGCTAGCACTGGGAGTAGTGGTGGATTGCACAGCAACTTCTAGAGTAAAGAGCTTTTCCTCTGGAATCAAGCTGGAGGGCAGGGTTAGCTTGTATTCCAGTAATGCAGAAGCTCCTCTCCAGATACTAGTCAGTGACTTCAGGTGATTGCTTCTTACTAAGAAGGCTGCATCCATGGTACAGGATCAATAGGAGAGCTTATCCTCTTTGCATCAAGAAGAAATCTGTGTTCTTGGATGTCTAAGTGCAGAACATTCTTAAGATAGCTAGTAAGTATGGAAAAGCATTTCTTAGATACACTTTTGTCCTCTGAGGATGAGCTGGGCAACTTGGAAGGATAAACCTGTTACTGATACGTAGATCATTGCTATAACCATTCCCTAATTTGCTATGCTTTAGATTACTATGATGGCACCTGTGGAATCAAAATTTTCTCAGTCAGCTGGTGATACGGACAAGGTGACAGATACAAAGCCTAAAGTGGCAGAATGGCGCTATGGCCCAGCACAGCTGTGGTATGACATGCTGGGCATCCCAGAAGATGGCAGTGGATTTGATTATGGTTTCAAGCTGAAAGAGAAGACAGAGCAGGAGGTTAAAGGACAGACAGATGAGAAGGT